GTATGTGTGTGGAGTTGAAGTCCACACATCTTAAAGTCGTCAAGGTTGAGAAACACTGCCTTAGATGGTCTTGTATAGTTGCAGCATATTAACTGAGGTCATTAATTTGCTCTATTAGTATGTAATAGAATTAAATATGCTGTTCTTCTTCTTGTAAAACAGGATAAATGGCGATTTTAGCCAATCAAAGAAAATCTGATTTAGTGGCACAAATCAAAGATTTACCCTACCTCTTCTAGGTACAGATATTCATTTCAGCAGATTTGTTGGGGAATATTCTTACTTCTAATGCTCTCCCTTGCTCCCTGACTAGAAAGGTGGTAAGGATTTGTCAGTTGTGAAAGATGATGAGTTGGGGAGAGTAAAGCAAAAGTGAAAGGGTCTAATGAATCAATGGGGTTATATGACTGGTGTGAAAGTAGAGCCTTTCTTTTATTCCAGTCATGAAGGATGAAAATTCATAAACTTTTCTCACCAATTACATTGTGTAAATATTTAATCCTTCACCTGGTCAGAATGAATAACGTTACACAAAGTTATTGGCATCAGGGAGTGTTCATATTTTACTAATATAAAAAGTATGAGATACAAGAGCAGAAATCAGGTTATAGGTATAACTTGCTTTTTATTTACTATTTTAGGATTCTATTCTTAGTTTTGCAAATTCACATTAAGACTTTTTTCGTGTGTAAAAATTCTTTGGAATGGATTTAGCTTGGTGGCAACATCTGGTTCGCCTTGTCTAACTCAAAAGCTAACTTTAATTGTTAGTATGTGAATGAGACATATTCATTCCAGCCACCTAGAGCTGGAAAATAGACTAGGATATCAAAAAGCATCATGCAACAAGGCAATGGCAAACCACTTCAGTATTAATACCAAGAAAACTACATGGACTTGGCCATGAAATCACCAAGAGTCAAGCTTGACTTGAAAAGAGATAATGTTTGATAATTCCCCTTGAATCTTCAGACTTAGCTCTGGATTAAATAAAAGGGGACAGTAGTGACAAAGCTGCCATTGTGTGAAAGCCACAGACAAGTAGGACATGACTTAATTTGGGTAGATTTCTCAGAGAGGTTTAATATTTTAGTAGCTTTCTGACCTGAACATGTTACTAATAAAGTAATACAACTTCTCCCCACTATCACTCTACAGTTGCTGTTGGACCAGAAAGAAGGAAATCTGACACGGGGCTTATGTTACCTACTCTGAGAGTTTCACTTATCAGTGATATGAGGTAAGACATTGAATTCCTAAAACTTTGGTTTTAAAGGGTTTATGCTTCAAATGAAAAAAGACTGCTTTATGCATTATAGCTTTCAGACAGTCAAACACAGTTTACCTGTGAGGGGTTTGTGCAAAACTCATGAGCCTGAATAAAAATAATATGGGAAAGAAGTGAGGCAGGGAGGAGATTCCTTCTTAAAGTTTTGGGAAGTGTGCAAATTGGACAGTGGGTTGGGGTAATGTTGGGCTAGGCTGAGACAACAATTCAAATCCCCAGTTAATCATGTAACTCGCTTAGGCCATTCATCAGATCTGTTAGTGTAGTTTATCCCACTGGATTAGCTACGTGGAAGAAAAGGAAAAATGATGTATGTTGCCTGTAGCTCTTTGAAAGAAGATGGGACTATCTATCATAATTATCATCATCATCATAATCCCAAATCAGTCTACTCCAGAATGAAGGCCTCTTCAGCCTGCTTTCCAACTGCTTTAACATGCCACAAGTTGTTTCCGGTTAAACTGAATTACATCATCTCCCCATTGTTTCTTTGGGCATTTTCTGGGCCTTTTACGGTTAACTGGTAGCCAATCAAGGTTTGTTTCTGCCCAGTGCTGATCTGTTTATTGTGTAATATGGTTAGCCCATTGCCATTTCTGGGAGACTACCTGCTTCATTACATGATACATACTCCTGTCTGATTGTGGATACATCTATTTCTTAATATATACATTTTGTGAGTGCGCATGTGTGTACATTGAGATTTCTATTCCACATAAGTATTTTGAGGTACAAAAACTATTAAGTTCCTTTGAAAAAGCCCAAACTTCATATCTTCTTTCTCTCTGTCTCTAAAACAATGTTCAGTTTGTATTGGCTGCAAGAAGCCTAAAAGAAAATAAGAAATAGAGATTAATAATTTGTAGCCATGCTTTCTTTCCTAAATGGAGATTTGTCACTATTTCACTATTTGGATGGAAATTGAATGCACTGCAAATGAGTTACAGTTCCCAAAGATGGGTGTTTATCATTTAAAAAAAAATTAGTCTGACAACAAGATCTCTTCTCCCTTTCTCCAAAAGCAAGATGAAACAGAGAGGAACCAAGGAGAAGCAATTTGTAGGCAGTGCCAGGAGTATCCAGAACTACAGGTGTCCTTGGGTTACAACAACAACTGAGACTGGGATTGCCGTCGCTAAGCAATACGGTCATAAAGTGCAATGTCACGTGACCACATCTCTTAGCAACAAAAATCCCAGCAATCCCGGTTGCCATCATAACCCCAGGACACACAGGTCATTAAGCACGAAGTAGTGGGATTCCGGGCGAGGAGCGCAGGTGGGGGGGGATACTGTGAGCAGGTGCTATGGAGCACAGGGGGTCGGGGCCTGTGGGAGGGCTGGCAGAAGCCACAGGGGGCTGCTGCGGGTGCGCATGCACTATGGCGTGCAGGCAGGTGTGGAGGTGCTATGTAGTGAGCTCCTCAGGAGAAAAAGCAGCAAAAGTGACTTACTGGAGCGACTTGCAACCTTCCCTGCTGGCTTCCCCATTAACTTTGCTTGTGGAAGCTGGCAGGGAAGGTCGCAAATGGTGATCATGTGATGCAACTTGCTGTGACATCATAATCGTGAGCCAGGCACCTGAGCACCCAGACCTGATCATGTGACCACAGGGATGCTGCGACGGCTGGAACTTCGAGGACCAGTTCTAAGTCACTTTTTTCAGTGCTGTTGTAACTTTGAATGGTTGCTGAACAAATGGACATAAGCTGAGGACTACTTGTAGAGTCTAGGCCAGCTTTCTCATATCCAGGATGCATGTTTTGCTTACGTATGCATTTATGCACCCATGCCTGGATATACATTTACTTTGTTTTATTGCATCTCCCATTAAGCCAGGATGCGGCCAAGAATAGATCTCAAATCCACTTCTTGATAATCAGTAGTTACATGCTGTGCAAATGTGTCATGTAAACATTGTTTTATCCCCCACTTGCATTGGTTTGTTCCAGTTACTGTCCCCTTAACTATTTTCTCTGCTCAGAACAGGTAATGATACTTAACATCGGGCTTGCACTACCCCAGGCAGACCCAGTGTGTAATCTGGGGGTCCTTCTGGACTCACAACTCCTGCTCAAAGAGCAGGTGGCAGTCATGGCCAGGAGAGCCTTTGCTCAACCTCGTGGATGGATGGTTTGGATGCCAGTTTGCTTCCGGGTCCAATTCAAGGTGTTGGTTATCTCCTTTAAAGCCCTACATAGCATGGGTCCAGGTTACCTGAGGGACCATCTCACCCCCATCACATTGACCTGTCCCACCCGGTCAGGCAGAGAGGGCATGTTGCGGACCCTGTCAGCGAGAGAATGTCAGCTGGTGGGGCCCAGGAGGAGAACCTTCTCTGCCATTGCCCCCGTCCTTTGGAATATTCTCCCCCCAGAGGTGAGGCGGGCTCCCACCCTCCCAGCTTTCTGGAAAGAATTGAAGACCTGGCTCTGCCGACTCGTGTGGGGCGAGAAGAGACATAACCAACCCTGGGGATGGCTAGCACTCGGAAGACTCTCCCCCGAGCCTAATAATTTCACCATCAATCTTGGAAGATATTTATTAATTATTATTTGTAGGACTATGGTTTTATTGTATTTTAATTAATATTTATTCTTTTACTATAAATCACCCAGAGTCATTTCTAGGGAGATGGGCGATGACAGACGTGAAGTATAAATAAATAAATTCCTCAGTCCTACTATTCAAGACCAAATGTAGGTACTTAGGGTTGCAATCCCAAGGGATTTAATCATATTACTGTATTCCTATAATGCTAGGCCTTAATTAGGTAGACAAAACCCAATTGCTGCCTTTTTAATCATTGTTTTCATACCGGTTATCAACATCAACAAAAATTAATCACCAAGGAAGCTGATTAATTGTCATGTTCTGTCAGAAGGCCTATATTCCCTGGTCTCAATCATCTGGATCCAAGCTAGTACACAGGACAGAGTATTTAAAGCATTCCTTGCCAAAAACCTGAACATTGTTATTCCTTCCCCGATTGTAGCACCACACAGAGCTGGAGAATAATAGAGCTATCATTTGTTGGGTCTAATCTGCTTCTCTGCCTCATTGCTTAGACAATATTTTTGCTTACAGTAAAGGAAGCAGAGGCCAGGAACGAAGCTGTTAGCTTTTTGATCCGAGGCTGCCACGCTTCTCCTGGGTGCTGCTAACATGATTTATTCTCCTGTTGTTGCTTACTTCCATTTTCCTTGGTAGTGTCAGGAAAATTATTTATATCACCAAGCTGTGCTTTAAATGGAAGTCATCATCAAAGACTGGGGAGTGGGAAGTTTCAGCTTTGATGTAGTCCCTATCAAAAGGCTTTAAATAGCTACAAGTGAGTGTTTCTCATCATGATGGGAGCAAATAATGTGCTTGTCGTATTTCTCAAGGACTTTTGATCACATGCCTGGTTGCGCTGGGCTTGTAGCCCCAAGAGCTGCTTGTCAAAGACAGTGCCAAAAAAAGGGGAGGGGTGCTTTGCAGAAAATTGTGCAAGCACCAGAAGCCAAGTCTTCTTTTATAGCAGTTTGGATGGTTGTGTGAGTCACTGCTCGAGGAAAGGAGTTGTGGGAGTTGCTAACAAAGAACAAAAGGAGTTGGAGAGGATTATCTCACTCATAAAATGGCCGGTTGAATCAGAAGGGCTCACTTTTACAACTTAATTTTATGCAAGCAGTTGGGGAACTACAGTTAACACTGTTATTGTGTGCAAAAACTGATGAACTAAGGTTGGGGTATGCTAATCGAGTGTTGACAGCAGCACAATTTCCAGCGCAGCAGCAAATAAGCTCTGCAGTATTTTTTAAAGTTTCCATATATTGTAATGAATTGTAGCTGTGGCACATGGTCGAGCCCAGTTCTGCCACAGCAGTGCAGCAATTGCTGCAGGAATGGGGGCAGAGCTGGTGTGGGGAGGTGCTACGGAGGAAGTTTCTTCCAAGCAGCACATTATCACAGCGTAACCCCTTCCCTTTGCTCAGTTTGTCTAACAACAGGAATGGGGAGAATGCACAAAGAGCCAGAATTACAGAATTAAGAGATTTTTCTTCATCAAAATGTGCATGTTTTTTACTCTTTGGGCCTTGGACTGCTATACACAGTTTTGCTTGGTTTGTTTTCTTACCATAATTCTTCAGTGCATGACTTACTGAATCAGCAGCCTTCCCAAGCGTGTGGTTTTCAGCTTCCATACTTCTCCAACTACAGGGCCCTTGCTGAGATTCTGGAAGTTGAGGTTCACAAACTCCAGGGCCCCTCTAAAATGTGCTGCGTAGATGTCCTTTTGAATGTGAGAGAAGGGATAAGTTTTACATACACTAGTGGGTGGTTTGTTTCATTTACTTCATTTCAATTTGCTTTCTGGCCTTGTTTACTTTTTGGAATGGGCTCCCCAGCACACTATTCAAAGACCAAGTATGGTCTTTAACCTGAAAATAGTTGCACCAGCCCTATTCTACTTCACTGTGCCAGTGACCAAGCTTCTTCAGCTTACTAAGCTACTCTTTTCCATTCCGTAATTCATCCTGAGAACTCCAAGCAGTCCAAATCTGGAGGCCTTGTTTTCTTATCTTGTGTTGACCATGTCACAACATACATTTTTGTAGTAAATCGTAGGGAAAACTAGACTTCCCTTGTAAACTTCTCTTCTTATCTCTTATATTATTATAATCTCCTACATACAGTACTTTTAATTTCACTGCAAAGAAACCCAGGAAGCAGATTTTGGATCACACAATCTATTAATGAGCAGACAGGACATTCTCTTGACCCTTACCCCACAAGCTTGAGGTTTCTCCATCCTAACAATGAGAGTCAATTTTTCTATAGTTTAGAGATGCTTTCAAATAGATTTAAATTTTTGCTTATTTTGTTTTTTTCCTGAAGGCACATTCAGAACATGAGTGAAATAAAGACTGATGTGGGTCGGGCTCGGGCATGGATCAGACTGTCTCTTGAAAAAAAACTTTTGTCTCAACATCTCAAGCAGCTCCTCTCCAACCAAGCCCTGGCAAAGTAAGTTCTCAAAGGCTGGTCCTTCTAGAATCCTCATTTCAGGTGGCAATTTTATGGGAACCTTTTTGAAGAGTAAGTTAATCAATCTCAAAAGGGGCTTGCTACTAAATAAACAAATCTGAGATTGCATGAAACAGCTCTTTAGTTCTTCCTGGGTATTAGGCGCCTTTGGTTGGAGTTGAAGTAGCTTAAGCTTCAGTGAAGATCCTATGTTGTTCCAAAGCAGCTTTCCCGAGTTAATGTTCTTAAAAGTACTACTGTCATCCTCAACCGGCATGGCAATTAATTTTTCATTCAGTTCTAAATTATAAGACTGAAAGGGAGAACATATGAGTAACCTAGAGTTGAAATGGTGGGGAAGAATTTGAGTTAAATTTTGTTATGGCACTCAAATTTTCAGCTCAGAATTCTTTGATTTTTTGTGAGCATCTTTTGTATCTAACTCAGGTTGGTGGATGTTAGGAGTCACGTTAGTGGGACCTAATTCTTTTTTTTCTAGAATCCTATCTTAACTTTTCTTGATTCAGCACATTTCACTGGTCTTGTCATGATGTTCAAGGGCAATTGTAACTTTCTTTCACTAGATTCTCAAAAGTTTTGCCTGGTGTTGTTGTCTGTAAGATATTTCTTACTCCCTGCAGGAAACTGTACAAGCGGTATGCCTTCCTGCGTTGTGAAGAAGAGCGGGAACAGTTTCTCTATCACCTTCTTTCTCTCAATGCTGTGAATTACTTCTGCTTTACAAGTGTCTTCACTACCATCAGTGAGTAGGAATAAAAGGCTAACTGTGTAGTTATTATTATTATTTATTGGATTTCTCCACCGCCCATCTCCCCCACAATAGGGGACTCTGGGCGGCTTACAAATGTAGTTCCATTACAAAGCCTGTAATCAAGCCACCTGAAGGGAGACCTCCAGAAGGGAGACCTCCCTGGAAGAAATAGTGAATATATGTTGTGCTACCCTTTCCCAACCTGGATACTTTCCAGATATGTGGACTTCAACTCCTAGAATTCTCAGCAATGGCCCTGCTGGGTAAGTGTTGAAATCTACATTTGAAAGATGCCCAGATTGGGGAAGACAGTTCAAATGCATTTCTTGTTTATTTAACTATAATTAATAATATAATGTAATTATAATTTATTTAATAATAGTAATATAAATTATAATTACAATATATAAATGCCTAATAGATTAATTAAATAGTATGATGTTATAAAAATACAATAAAATCAGAATAAGAAACAAATACACCATATAAAATTGTGTATTTTTAAAATAATGCATGAAGGACTGACGTAAGAGATTTCAAAGAGGTAAAAGAAATACATCTTGGATAAATAAAGTGTTTAAAATATGGAATAATATAAGCATCTTAGACTAGAACTGAAGACATAGTGTTTTACGCACAGTGTGCTTCCCTCAAGAGAGTGTGGCAAAGTGAGGGGGCCACTACTGAGAAATCCTGGCCTTTCTATCACCTTCCAAGGTTCAGAACAAGAGGGCACTCGAGAGCTTCAGTAGATAGTTATGGAGGAGGCCTTTTTCAGGACCCAAGATCTGTAGATCTGTAGAGTAAGACAAGGGACTTCTAGTACTTTGAATGCTTGTATGGTACTTTTATAGTCTATTAATCAATAGACTATATTAATTGAAAGTTTCCACAACAGTTTAAATTATGCTTAAATTAACAACAACAACAACAAAAATCCAGGCTATAGTCTTTTGAATGGTGGGTCTCCTTCACCCATGGAACTGCTGATATCCATTGTAACTTCAAGCAACAGGTCTGTGTTACAGTTGGGGTACAAAGGTTTACTAGCAGCCCCTTCCATCCCAGCTCATAATTCTAGCTGCCACTCTGCTGCTGAATCTCTAGAGCAGTGTTGTCCAAACTTGGCCACTTTAAGATGAGTGGACTTCAGCTCCCAGAATTCCCCAGCCATAACAACCAAGGGACTATCCACAAAGTAGGATGAAGTAATCTAAAGGCTATTTGTGTTTGGAACAACGTCCTGAAGGGACAGAGTGGAG